CGGTGCCACCGCGCGGGGCGCCTGGGGGCTGTAGTTCCCGGAGCGGCGTCCGGCCTCTTCCCAGGCGGGGCGCAGGGCGCGGCTGGCTTCTCCCGCCCCGGAGCGGAGAAAGTGGGACAGGGGAAACCGCCGCTAGCCATTCAATCCCGGCTCGGGATGGGCGGGAGCGGTGTGGTCTTTGCTTTAAACCCCACCTCCCGCCTCCCTCCCAGGCTGGAGTTAGTAAATACTAAGAAAGGATCTCTCCGAGAACAGAGCGAGGAAATCTTAAAAAAAGACAATCTGGAGACAAAAACACTTGGGGACACGACTCCTCTCCGCACAAAATGCGTTTGAAATACTTTTCTGGGGACGGACAAACTGCTGTGCCGCAGGAACACCCAGACATCCGTGACTCCACATTGACCTCTGGGCCCAAAGCGTTACAGCTAGAATAATTGAGTGAGCCGGGCCGGTGGCTCACGCCCGTAATCCCAGCTACTCCGGAGGCTGAGATCTGAGGACCTTGGTTCCTAGCCAGCCCAACTCCTATCTCCAATTAAATCACAGAAAAACTGGAAGTGAAACTGTGGCTCCAGTGGTAGAGCACTATCCTTGAGGTTTAGGAGGGGCTAGAAGGGGCTAGGAGGCGGAGACCCTGGTGTGGACATGCGGGCCAGGGGCTTCATCATGGCAGACTAGGATTTGTGGCTGCTGCCCAAATAGTAGATAAGGGGTCCTGAAGCTGTCCAGACCTGAAGGTCACTCTAAGGGTCTCTTGCTACCTTTTATGGTGGTAGCTGCCCCCGAGGAGTGCCATCCCAAGGTAAAGGGGGCTGGAGGCTGATTATTTACTGCCTTTACTACGGGGCCTAGTTTTGCCTAGGAAGGGAGCCTGCTAAGCTGTGGAGAGGGGAAGGAGCATGCTAAACTATGGGAAAGGAGCTTATTATGCTAACAATCACCCCTTCCCTTGCTCTCTCCCAGTTTCAAAACTCTTGATTGTTCTCCAGAATATTCTAGAAAAAGGAAGATAAAAGGAGATCACCTGTGCCTGTTAGCTTTATCCCCACCTCCTGTCTTTGGCTCCACCCAGACCTTAGCTTCTCCCTGCCCTAGAGTTCTGCTTTATAGCTGGCCACCCCCTCTCTCCTATGCAAACCTACCTGCGATTAGCTCCAGAGCTACCCACCTGGATAGGGGCAGATGCCATATTGCTCCCTCTGGGGGTGGGGGGTGGGGAGATATGGTCCTCTAATAAACCTTATAATAATCTTTCTCTTGTGCCGGCCTGCCTCTGCGTGGTCCTCTGGGATGGTGCTAACAGTGCCCAGGCCCTGAGTTCGAGCCCCAGGACCAGGACACACACACACACACACACACACACACACACACACAAATAATCAAATGTGCTGGGTGTCAAAACAAAGGAGAAAAGTGTTGTAAGGTGAATTTGAGCAACTCTCAATCTACTTTTACTGCATCACTCCCTGTGATGTTGGAATACTTAATGTCAGACCCGGCCACACACATGGGTTGTGTCCTTCCTTCCTTCCTTCCTTCCTTCCTTCCTTCCTTCCTTCCTTTCCTTTCCTTTCTTCCTTCTTTCCTTCCTTCCTTCCTTCCTTCCTCCCTCCCTCCCTCCCTCCCTCCCTTCTTTCCTTTCCTTCCTTCCTTCCTTTCCTTTCTTCCTTCCTTCCCTCCCTCCCTCTTCTTTACTGATAAAATTTCTTGGTTTCTACCTCAATATGTCCTTAAATTCTGTTTTTGGACAGTATCCCAAACTCTGTACCAGCAGTCCTGAGATTCAAGGATGAAGGATGGAAGCCAGCATCGGTAGGAAAGTCCATAAGACTTTTAACATAAATTAACCTCCCCCCAACCCTGACCCCCTCCCCCAAACACCACCCCCCAAACAGAAGCCAGAAGTGAAGCTGAGGCTCAAGTGGTAGAGCACTAGTTTTGGGTGGGGGCAGCTAAGGAAGAGTGTGGGGGCCTGAGTTCAACCCCCCAGTATCACTCCTCCTTCCCCACAAACCAACTAACCAACAAACTAACTGACCACAGTACACAGGGGCCTCTGGGAGATCTCCAGAAAGCATTATCCTTATAAATCTGTCAAGAACAGCCAGGCACCAGTGACTCATGCCCGTACTAACTACCCAGATGGCTGAGATCTGAGGATCACAGTTCAAAGCTAGCCTGGGGCAGCAAAGTCTGTGAGACTCTTATCTCCAATTAACTATCAGAAAGCTGGAAGTGGCACTGTGGCTCAAGTGGTAGAGCGCTTGCCTCGAGTTGAAGAGCTGAGACACAGTGCTCAGGCTGAGAGACAGTGCTCAGGATGAACAACAGGACTCCGACTTCCAGATGGCTGGGTTCTGACAAACACCCTGCCCCTGCTGCGTCCAGCCTTATCTTCACCCTGGCTTCCTCTGGTCTCTTGTTTGTTTAAATTCCTATTAAGTAGTTGTACAAAGAGGTTACAATTTTGTGCTGGTCTTAACTATCTTACTCAGGTGCTTCACAGGCTGGCTTTCCTGTGACACAAAGATGAGCCAATTTAATAAAGCTACTGGCACAGAAGCTTTTCTGGAATATTCTGGAGAACAATCAAGAGTTTTTTTTTAAATTTTTTTAATTTTATTTGTGAACATACTGTACAGAGGGGTTACAATTACATGGGCAGGATAATGCGTACATTTCTTACCAAGCATTGCAGCCTCCTCCTTTGTTTACCCTTCACATCCCTTCCCAGCCTCCCCCTTCCCCCCCAATCCCAATTCTTCAATCAAGAGTTTTGAAACTGGGAGAGAGCAAGGGAAGGGGTGATTGTTAGCATAATAAGCTCCTTTCCCATAGTTTAGCATGCTCCTTCCCCTCTCCACAGCTTAGCAGGCTCCCTTCCTAGACAACACCAGGCCCCGTAGTAAAGGCAGTAAATAATCAGCCTCCAGCCCCCTTTACCATGGGATGGCACTCCTTGGGGGCAGCTACCACCATAAAAGGTAGCAAGAGACCCTTAGAGTGACCTTCAGGTCTGGGCAGCGGCAGGGCCCCTTATCTACTATTTGGATAGCTGCCACAAATCCTAGTCTCCCATGATGAAGCCCCTGGCCCGCATGTCCACACCAGGGTCTCCGCCTCTTAGCCCCTTCTAGCCCCTCGTAAACCAACTATGTTATATAGGTCATCAGACAATAACTGGTGCTTCTTCTCACTTCTCCCTTGTGAGAAGAGGTCTTGTCGGGCCCCTTCCCGGGCAGTAAACCTTTCTTTGTTCTCTGTACCTGGATGTCTGTGTGTTTTTCTGGCGAAGTCTAAATAATCTAACAGTGATATTGTCCAAAAAGAAACATACTCTACCTGACTTATGTTAACTGTAACCCCTCTGTATAGCACCTTTATAATAACACAGGAGGGGTTAACAATGCTCGACAAGAAATGTACTCTTTACCTTACTCATGTAACTGTAACCCCTCTGTACAGCATCTTTACAATAAAATTAAAAAATTTAAAAAAAGTTGTTTTTTTTTTTTTTTTTGGTCGGTCATGAGGCTTAAACTCGGGGCCTGAGCGCTGTCCCTCAGCTCTTCAGCTCAAGACTAGTGCTCTACCACTTGAGCCACAGCGCCACTTCCGGTTTTCTGGTGGTTAATTGGAGATAAGAGTCTCATGGACTTTCCTGCCCAGGCTGGCTTTGAACCATGATCCTCAGATCTCAACCTCCTAAGTAGCTAGGATCACAGGCGTGAGCCACCGGCGCCCAGCTTTAAAAAATTTTTTTGAAGGGAAAAAGTATTTTTAAATAAAAGATCTCGGGGCTGGGAAGGTGGCTCAGTAGTAGAGTGATTGCCTTGCATGCATGAGGCCCTGGATTTAATTCCTCAGCACCACATAAGCAGAAAAAGCCAGAAGCGGGCTGACTCTCAAGTGGTAGAGCATTAGCCTTCAGCTGAAGAGCTGAGGGACAGTGCCCAGGCCCAGAGTTCAGGCCACACAACCGACCAAACAACAACAACAACAACAACAAAACCAAACAAAAGGTCTCTCCAGGTAAGGAATGTGATATACAAGTCCTCAGCTTTCTCCTTGAAAGGATTCAATACTCCTAATATGAAATAATATAAATTTTTCATAAGAAGATGATTTTTTTTTTGGTCGGTTGTGGGGCTTGAACTCTGGGCTTGGGTGCTGAACTACAGCGCCACTTCTGGTTTTCTGGTGGTTTTTTTAAATTGGAGATAGGAGTCTCACAGTCTTTCCTGCCCTGTCTGGCTTTGAACCACAATCCTCAGATCTCAGTCTCCTGAGTAGCTAGGATTACAGGCGTGAGCCACAGGAAGCCTGACTTTTTTTTTTTTTTTTTGTCCGTTGTGGTACTTGAACCTCTGGGCCTGTGCACTGTCCCTCAGCTCTTCAGCTCAAGGTGAGCACTCTACCAGTTGAGCCACAGCGCCACTTGCAGTTTTCTGGTGGTTAATTGGAAATAAGAGTCTTACGGACTTTCCTGCCTGGACTGGCTTTGAACTGTGATCCTTAGATCTCAGCCTCCTGAGTAGCTAGGATTACAGACATGAGCCACCGGCACCTGGTGATGGCTGATTTTATTATGGTATTAGAGAAAATAGTTTTTCTAAGTCTTTCTACTTTGCTTGAACTCTGGGCCCTCAGCTCTTTAGCTCAAGGCTAGTGCTCTACCACTTGAGCCTCAGGACTACTTCTGGTTTTCTGGTGGTTAATTGGTGGTTAAGTGTCTCACGGACTTTCTTGCCTGGGCTGGCTTTGAACCGTGATCCTCAGATCTCAGCCTCCTGATGCTAAGTGCTTTTAAATGCATCATAATAGTTTCTTCCATGCACTTTGCACTAGAGATATTAGCTAGTAATGATAATTATTGTATTTA